TTTATTGAATCCATTGCTAGGTCAGCTGCTAAGAAGGTTGGCTCACTGTGTCGTAATAGACATCATCCTCTCCTGAATCTATTTTGCATATCTATAAGTCTACCATTCGTCCATGCTTAGAATATTGCTACCACATATGCTCTACGCCATTTATCTAGGGATCTTTGGTAAAATCCAAAGAAGAATCAACAATATTATTGGTCCTGATCTGACGTCTCGGCTTCAGTCACTTTCCTGGCAACTTTTCTGATGAGCACTTCAACATGGTACCTAGACTTTTTGAATTCAAGCGCAGTACAAGACTGGCAACGAAGTCTCACCAATGTACAGTTGAGTTGGATAGATGTGACGCTAAGTTCGATGCTAACAGTTTCTTCTCGCACTTCTCGCTCGTGGAACTCTCTTGCGGTTCCATGCTTTCCAGCCAACTTTAATCTTCAAAAATTTAAATGAAATGTAAATCGCTTTCGACTGTTCTCCTGATTACTCTTCTTTTGTTCCCGCTCCTTAGTAAAGTTTCTCATTTTTAATTCTTTCACACTATGTAACCCTTTAAACCTTAGTGGCTTTACTGCTTTGCTTGAGGTGAAATCGATTTAAAAAAAAAGCACAGGAATTAAAAAGAAAGAAGATAGCGATTGACATTGCATTTAAATTTTTGAAGATCAAAGTTGAATGGAAAGGAAGTGACCAGAAGAGAGTTTCACAAGCGAGAAGTGCGAGAGAAGAAACAGTTAGTATAGAACTTACATCTATTAATTTTATATGTACAATAATGAGACCTCCCTAACAATATAGCACTGTGCTTAAATTCTTAAAGTCGAGGTACCAAAGATCGCTCCTACTGTCCTCTTACACTTCTTTTGTTCTTGCTACTTAGTAAAGTTTCCGTTTTCTAATTCTTCCATACCCAGTAACCCTCTTGTGTCTCAGTGTCTTTACCGCCTTGCTTGGGATGAAATTGATTTAAAAAAGAAAATAAAGAAAAGAGCTGTAAGTAACTATTTGCTGCATTTGACAGCAAGTATGATTCGCCTTCTTTTTTAATCAAATATCAATATTTCATAAATGTTTTAAACTTTTAAATGACATCAAAAGAGGTACTTAGTTTTCTAAGGATTTTGCTTTCATTTTTTTACAATTTGATAAAGGAACAAACCAACATGCAAATTACAAATTAGAGACACTAAAATCTAGCAAGTGTAGCAATTTAAATATCTAGGAAGTGTTTTGACAGAGGGCGGAAAATACAACACCGACATCCAAAAGTGTATTAGGATAGCGAAAGATGCTTTCTAAACGCTAAGCAAAGTATTAAGAAAAGGGAAAATTTCGTTAGACACAAAAAAAGAGTACTGAACTGTTATATAATATCTGTCTCCTACTATATGGCAGTGAATGCTGGACAATCTCCTCACAGATGGGGAAGTGACTTGAGGCAACAGAAATGTGGTTCTTTAGAAGGATGCTGGGGGTACCATTAACTGAACATGTGATAAACGACAAAGATTTAGGGAAAATGGAAACTTATGTGAGGGCATAGAAAATTTGACACCCACAGGGCTTATTGAAAGCAGTGTATAACGTAAATGAAAAAAGAGCGTACGTAAATGATTACCAGAACAAGGATTAGGAGAGACAACAAAAAGGCAAACTTTACTAAGGGCTACAAAGAATAGGAAAATGTAGGGTGACATGATCGCCCATCTTTTGACGGCACATAGAAAAATAATTCTAACTTTTCTGGTTGTTCTTGTTAAATTGCTTGGAATAAAACTAAAAAAAAATTTAATTTTCAATAACAATTTCTGCATTCGCAAATAGATATAGCTCTACTACATTAGTTGTGACCCAAATGATATTCTCTGATATAGCGATTTTCCCGCGTAGCTTGGATGTGGCACAAGGCCGAAATTAAGGGGCACCCAGTGAGGATTGAACTCACTACTCAATCGTAATTGTTCTAGCGAGACAAGTTCGCTAACCATTACACCATATTCTCTGACATATCAATCTATAGCATTACGGGATTCTCGTCCAAATCTACATTTTCGTTTTTTTTTGTGGGGGGGGGGTCTGTAATTTTCTTCAATTGAAGAACGAATATATCGTCCGAGAACATTTCAATTAAAAAAATAAAATAAAACAAAATCAAGATAGTAAAAAAAAAAAGAAAAGTAATACATTTTTAAATTTACTAAAACAGTTTTACTAACTTAATCTGATTTTCGTCCACATCTCTGACATTAAAGATAACATTACAAATTGACAGTTTCGAAAATGTCCACCAGTTTTCTGAAGTTTTAATCTGCTCTTATATACAATTTCAATAAATTGATGAATAATTAAAAAGAAAGGCAAGTTAACTCTTTGTTGTTTCAGTTGATGCCACAAGATTTTGCAAGTACAGAAATGAAGTATCATCACAATGCGTATAAGGTTAAATTAGATATAATTTAAGTGAAATCTAATTTACATTTTTCAAATACTGATAGCGTCCTATAAAAGATACATAATATATTTTAAGCCTGATGTGTATGAAATTCTTCTACTATGTTCTGTGTCTTGTACGTGGGCAATCATGGCTCACCACAATTACATATCCTTTGTTGTTCTTAGTAATGTTTTTTACTATCTCTTCTGTCCCCTTTTCTGCTATCTATTTTCACAAATTCGTTAAGTAGTTTACTTGCTGTTTCCATTTGCCACTGTTGCCTTCAATATATCCTGTGAGGACCAAATTCTCCAAGCTCTCTTTTTTCATTATGTCCCTGAAATTTCAACTCTCTTTCTGATTCTAATATGTGTTCGTTTTTGTTTCCATTTTTCCTTAAAACGTGCTCGTTTCTTACATGCACCATCTACGGCATTCTCAGCATTCTTCTGTAGAAACGCATCTCTGTTCTCAAGGATTGATTGATTTGATTTTTTACGGCTTACCAATACCTTTGTGGGTTATTCATAGTCGAAAGATATTTTGGATTGTAAGAATATATATTTTTGCGAGTTAATATTGCATTAACAGTTTTTCGAGACTAACAATGATCTTTCCCGATACAAGTCTTACTATTTAACCCATAGCTGGGGAGGAGATAAATTCATACCTTTCCCAAGGGTATTTGCGAGTGTGAATGCAAAGAATCCAATTGGAAATCGAACTCGGCTCTATTCCGAGACGTTATTCATTATACTACCAGTACATCACCTGTTATCACAAATTTTATTTTCTTGTTGTGTTTGATAATTGTAGATAATTGGGTCCATATTTCAAACGTTGATTTTTCAATGCTGACAGACCGCCCCGATTGGAAGAATGGTGTAACGCATTCTTTCTTTTTGCGCGCAGTTGACCTTGTGCCAAACTAGATAAAATTTACCGAGTATTTTAAAAAAATTAGATTAAGCGTTTTTTTCTTTTGTAACTATTTCTATTTCACACTCTCTGAGTCAAAGAGTGTTGTGATAAAAAACGCCGGCTTAAGCAAGTGGATGACAGAATGTGGTCTGGAGGAAGAAGCGGGGGGAAGGAACTCGCTGAGAGCTACAAGGGATAGAGGGAGGTGGAGAACCATGATCGCCTACGTCCTGAAAGGACATGGCACATAAAAAGAAAAGAATTAAATAATAATAGTAAGCTTAGAACTTGTTTTGTGACTGATATAGATGCAATATTTCCCTGTGGCACCGGGAGTTAAAAATTCAGGATTTTGACTGCTAGCATTTCCAACAGAAGATAATACAAAGCCGAGTTTTAAATGAGAGTCCTATGTGCATATGGAACTAGGAACCAAAAAATGCTCAAGCGCCATCAGTATTTCCTTCTTGGGATTTCAGGGGTGCTAAATAGGGGTAACACTCGTGGATGTGTCGACAAGCCGTTTTCATTAGCAGATTCCCGCAACATAACCCTCCTAAACCTCATTAGATTATTACATGCTGCTCAAAATTAAGCTTTATAAATATCAATATGTTTTATATAATTTTTCATTACCAAGGTTATAAATTTTACAAGCATAAAATTAACCAAATACATCAAGGCTGATTTACCTTGACTTAAATCAAGAATTACGCCTTTGCTTCACTTCAAACTACTCAGTGCTTCAGATGAAACCTTATAATTTTACGACAACTGTCCCATGCACTAGCCACTGAACCAAACCTGACAGGAATGTAATGTGGTGTTGATCTTTTAAGGATGTCAATCCACATTTTATTCGATGCTTTTTTAAATCTTGTCTTTATTAGGAAGCGAACAAAAAGAAACACGTGTGTCGCGTCACTGCTTAGTTACCAACCTGACTTTTTTTTTATTATTTTAATACATTTTATTTCTTTTTTTTTCTTTTTTTTTACCCTGGAGGTAACGACTGTTACTTAAGAAACGGTTATCTCCCTTTACGTCGACTCAACACGCTGCGTGCAAAATGACGGGAAAATTAAGATGGGTACAGTATAGAGGAAGGGCAGAAACAAAAGTGAGCCCCTGTTCTCTATTATTTTAAACATTCTTCACATTTTTAACATTCCTACATAGGCGAACTGTCTGGATCCAGTCACAAAAAACACCTCGCTACTTTTAGTTACGTCATCAGGAATTTTCTTGTTAATCAATTAAAGGTAGAAAGAAAGAATGCCTGAAAGGGATGGTATTGTGTCAGGCTGGACCCCTTCGACCAGTCATTTGACAGGAAACACAACCGTTTAAAAAGTGGGGAGTGTCGTATGAAAAAAATAAATAAATAAATAAATAAATAAAATAAGATAATTTCTTTGACAACATTTTACTATCGATTTTTTTTTTTTTTTTTTTTTTTTGCGATATGTTAAATTCACGAGATCTCTACGCGTCCCTTGCTGGCAATGAACGATGTGCCATAACTTTGCTTTCTCTTCGTCCGTTGCATATAGACATAAATGCGACCGCACAGCCAATTGTTTGCCTAAAGTGCTAGCTTCATATTTTAAAAAAATGTGAATCCATATTACTGAATTGTTTAGGCTTACGGCTATATCACGTTGAAACACCGGTTCTCGTAAATCACCGAAGTTAAGCAACGTCGAGCCTGGTCAGTTCCTAGTTGACTGACCACTTGGGAATACCAGGTACTGTAAGCTTAAATATGCGGGTAGTGTAAAGAATAACGGCTCGGAATCGTAAATAGAAAAGCCAATTTCAAATTCCAGTGGGATTCGTTATATTCACTTACGCTCAAATATCCTCCGAAAAGGTATGAATCCACGTTTTCTCCCCCAGTTATGGGTTAATTAATAAGACTTAGATCACTAAATCATTATTATCTCCCCAAAAGTCTTAGAATCTAAAAATATTTTCTGGATTTAAATAACCTGCAAAAAAGCTGATAAGCCGTAAGAAACAAATCAATTAATCAATCAAAACCTGAATTGTTTAGTCTAATGTCATCATTTTTGTTAGTTTTACTCCAGTGAATGGCTCAATGTATTCTACATCGTTCTACAAGTGTAAGTGTACATCAGGCAATTCTTAGAATTTTATCCAATGCACACGAACACATATACACACACGCACGCGCGCGCGCACACACACACACACACACACAAACGCATGCACATATATATACATCTAATATATAAACCTCAAAGGCCTGTTTGAAACTCTGAATATTAATGAAATATACAAAGTTTATTTTTTGCTTATTTATGTGTGCGTGCATGCAAATATTACCTACAATATGATATTAAATATATAAATTTTTATAATTACCGTTGTGTGTCTTATATCTTGTCCAACTTTGCAGTTCTTATTTAAACATCATTTTTTTTTAATGAGCTTCTCTTTTTCAATCTGGTATTTGCGATCTTTATTGTTTATTGATAATTTTTATAATCAAATTGCTTAGCTATTCGAATAAAACATTTCCTTCCCTGAAAGTTGCAACTACCTTAGCATTTAGATCACGTCTTTGGAGAGAATTACTTGGCATGACATCACAACAATCTGATAGTTTATGGGAAACGTCTAAGACAAGACAAGGATTTTTATAACTTTCAAGTTATTCAATGGATTACTTAAATGGCTGTGAGCGACAAAACTGTTGTAACACTAGTTTACAATTCATAGGTAGCTATGCAGATATTTTATGACTAATATGGTAAAGAATGAAAGTTACTCCGAAAAGCATATCTGAAGTTAATATTTCGTTTAGAAAGATTAGTTACCAGCTATTGAGTTTCTTCATTTATTACTAAATATATTTTTAACTAGTTCTGAGTAACTCAAATTTTTTAAATAATAATAAATTAGTCGCTTTATTCTGCGGCTGTTAAATTAAATTGCAAGAATTCAGATAAAAAATCGCTTTTGATGAGGCTCGGACTCGCATTCCATCCTTTAAGAGCTCATCATTAACAGACTATGCTTTACCATCAAGCTCTCTCGATAAAGCAGCGTTCTTATCACTCATCTTTCTCCCGCCGTTTTTCTTACAATTTTATTCCATGGATTGTTGAGTAACTAATATCTCTAAATCATAAATGGAATATTTTCAGTGTTACATATATTTTATTATTATTTTTTACTTTTTATTTGATGTTTTTCTGTATCGTGGCTTTTTAGCTGTTTTCACCCGTTAAACTTCGGGAAATCAGCTAAAAATAACATAATACAACTTCAGAAAATATCAAGAATCATATTAAGACTAATTAAAACAAAAAAAAACTATTACTATTTCATTAACATAGCAGAAGGAAAACAGATCAACTAAAATCGTTATGATAAAATGCAATAATAATGAAGAAACTAGTAAAAACTAATAACGTATTCTGAAATACTTCATCTCAGAATTTTAAAACGAATTTAAAATATGACGACATCCTTTATGATTTAAAATTATTTTTATATCATTATTCACCCATTACAAAGTCCAAGAGTCACTCAAGGTAGAGGGTTATTAAATTAGATTTTTAAGGGCGTACATAGAGGGGAAAGAGGTGCATATCATGAGGATAGGTAGGATAGATAGTGGTTGTCCTCCGACTTGAAAAAGTATTTAATAAACAAGTTTCAAGAGAAAATTGGCATGTATTTGAAATGTTTATGATTGCGTTTTATACCAATGACATTCCAAGAGGCGGAATAATGATGATAGGAAAAAAACACACACAGAATGTATAGAAATCATGCTTATTTCAACAAGGATAGCATTAAAATGGTATTAGCAAATGTGTTCCCATTCGAAACTGTCTCTTTCTGATATTAAGTAGAAGTGTCCTTTTTGTTTCCATTTTCTAAAAAAATTCGCCGTTACTCATTTGTTTGATCCCTAGTATTCTCATCATCTTTCTGTAGAACCACATTTTTGTTCCATCAAGTCTCTTCTTCATTTGGGAGGATATTGTCCATCGTTCACTGCCATATAGGATGGCTGATATTACGTAGCAGTTCAGTACTCTTTTTGTTGTTTTTAACGAATTTTTTCTGTTTTTTTTAATACTATGCTTAGCTTTTGGAAGGCATCTATCCCAATGCGACTTTGGATTTCGGTGTCACACTTTCCGTCCTCTGTTAAAACACTTCCCAGATATTTAAATTATTGTATTTGTCTTTAGGTACCCTGAAATGTATTTCTTTTATATTTATTACTGTTGTGACCAAGTAAATTGTTAAAGAAATAACAAAACGAGTGTTGCAGATATATCATATATTAAACAGTAAGTACAACAGAAGAGTATTACATCACTAGTGAGTGTATGTCGGTTGACCCAGCGTTCAATTTGTTTGAGTGTTATATTTACCAGCCTCCCCACGAGGATGTGGTACAAGGCCGAGTTTAATGTGGGACAATCCGAGCCCGTAGGCTCGGCAAAAAATTCCCCATAGACCCCGTATAAAACGGGGTAGGTTAGCTGTTTCCTAAGACGAGACTCTGCCTTTCGACGTAGCCTCGTCTTGGGATCCTCTCTGCCCGGAGGCAGAGAGTTTGACCAGCACAGCTGGAACAGTCTGGTCGACTGATAATATTTAACAGTCCCCCCACGAGGGGTGTATGTGGCACAAGGCCGAGTTTACCGTCGGCTCGGCCAAAAATGTTCCCTTTGAAGCCGCATAAACGGGTTCAGGGACTGTCTACCTCCCCGAACGAAACTTTTCCCTGCGGCAAAACCTCGTCTGAGTTCCTCTTCGCTCGAGGCAGAGAGTTCGACAGAAATGAACAGTCTGGTCGACTGATAATATTTACCCCCCCGCCGAGGGATGTATGTGGCACAAGGCCGAGTTTACCGTGGGTTCTCCGAGCCCATAGGCTCGGCCAAAAATGTTCCCTTTGAAGCCGCATAAACGGGTTCAAGGACTGTCTACCTCCTCGAACGAAACTTTGCCCTGCGGCAAAGCCTCGTTCGGGTTCCTCTCTGCCGAGACAGAGAGTTCGACAGTTACGAACAGTCTGGTCGACTGATCCCCCAAAGCCTTCTCTCCTACTAATTAAAATAGACTCTTTAGAGGGAGGACTCTCCAACAATTAGATACAAGCTTTAAAAAATTAAGCAACCTTTTAAGCAACCTTTTAAGCAACTTAAGAACTAATTCTTGTATAAAAGTTAAGCAAAGTTTTTTAGTGTTCCAAGTTCCAAGTTGCTTATTTTTAAAAGAATCGTGTAACTACCGTAATTTCTGGTGTCGAGATCACTCTGACCTCAAGATTGCACAAAAATTTTAGAGAGAAAAATGAATCAACATAAAATTAAGTAAAATGAAAAAGAAATAATCATCGGCCTGCAGAGAACATTTTCAAGATTCATTTTCTGTCATGTAATGGTTTTTACACCGGGGAAAAAAACAATGATTTCGAACATTTATTAAATAGAAAATTAGTTTTATTCATCACTGTTATGGTCCGGTTCCTTGTACCGCGGTGATAGTCCAAGGTAGAACCAATAAAGAAGAACTCGAAGGCGGATATGGAATAACACAGGTATATTACAAACAGGAATATATACAGAGAGATAGAAAGTGTTAGTACGAACAATCAGATTTAGTAGTAATTGTCTGAACGCGACTCTGTTTCGGACTGCCTCTGACTTGACTGACTGACTCGCTCGCTCTGACTGACTGACAGACTCCTGACGGACTTTACTCCAGACTTCAGGCGGAACTCCCGACTTCAGACGGAACGATATTTATTTGTACAAATGGTACAAAATGTGACACAAGGCCTAAAAGGGGGTTGGGGAAGGACGGTCTTCTTCTGTCTTAATTCTAAACTTAGCTAGTCCTAGACACGGACCCAAACATACCAACAATATTCCAATCACCAAAACAACACATTCACTCCTACCTTTCTTACTGCGTCCACCATAATACCTCAAATTCTCTATGAAATCCTAAACTAGTCCCCTTATGTACAGATATTGTTCGTGGGGGGAGGGGCATAAAACAACAATTTTTAAAAAGATCCCCAAATGAATATGTACAATATGACTTAACTATTTACAAGAAACTAAACAAACATTGTATTAATAATAAAACCCCCCACAAACCATAAATGTGGCAGAAACATCAGTTAACCAGACGAAATCAATGCGGGACTATGAAAAAATCAGGAAAACATTCATACCTCCAAGCATTCACACAGGTATACACACATTCATACACAACAACAAATACGAAAAATCACACACACGAAACGAAAGGCGCCCCGCATCCACCAGAGAACTGACATCACTGACCACCTAACGAGGGAGGGGATGGGGAATTAAACAAAAGAAAAATAGGGACAGAAATAAAAGGGACCAATGAGCAAGCATACCCTAGCTAAGTTAACCAGAAAAACGAGAAACTAAAGATTCAAAATAAAACCTACACTAGCCTAATATCGGGATGGGTTGCCTATGTTCAACCCTGTTAGGACAAAATCCTGTACCTAACCGACATCCAAGTGCCACTCTAGGTCAGCCCCTTTCACTCTACACATTCGCGCAAGATTTACCCACCTTTTGCCAAATTCTGATGAAGGGAGCCTCCGCCTTTCCGTCCTAATCTTGACTTTAAGCTGATGCTTAAAGAACAAGATCAGTTGGGAAGAGGTGAACTTCTCGCGATCATAGAATTCCTTCTGACGCGTCGTCCAAATCACGACT